GGAAAGGGAAACAAAGAAGACAAAAAAAAAAAAAAAAAAAAGCAAAATATACAAGACATAAGAAATGGAAAATTACTCGTTGATAACATGTATGTCGATGTGCTTGATTGAGCCAATATACAGTGTATTTTGGATGGAAAATTCATTTTGTATGCTGTAATGATGTATAGTGAATTAATGTAAAAAATAAATTTAAAGAAAAAAACTCAGAGAATATACACATGGTTGAGAACTACATCAAAATATATGCATTCAGAAATAAATACTTTAAAAGGACTTATAGTTTCATTCTGCTATTTTTTTTTTTTTTGAGAGGTTTATGTGATAGGGTGCCTGCACTCACCAGAAAGGCAGAGAGACAGAAAGCAAGAAATCACCCCCCAGGGAGGAAGGCCACACTGCAATCCCTTCTCCTCCATTCTCCTCTCGAGATCTTGGGCACGCACGCACACATGCCCGGCGTGAGTTTAAGCCACTGGGTCCAGGACTTGAGCACAGTCTCCTATATGGGGTCCAGCAACACAGCCATTATGCTAACTGCTGGTCCCCCATCTACTTTTTTTTTTTTTTAACGAGAAGCAATCATGCATTTATTTCATTTGAAAATAACACAGACTGACATTTTGCTAATGTATTATTCCTGATCAAAATCATATTTTGTTTCATCTGAGTTTTAGGTAGCATTTAAGTATTGCTCTGAGAATCCTGTTTACAAGAATTATGCCCAAGATTAATTTTTTAATGACTAGATGCGAAGATGTTCTCTTTCTGCATCTCTTCTCACCTAACTTAGAATGTGACATACAAATCTTATTGCCACTTAACAAAGCTCTTTGTCAGAGTCTGATTTCAAAAACTGAGAATAATATAATACTAAGTTTCTAAACTTAAAAGGAGAGCATGTGAACTAAAGAAATAATGTTAACTGCTAGACATTAGCAAATCTTTATTTCTTCATCAAATATGTGAGGAAGTATAATCTATTAGTTAAAGCCTCATTATCACTATTTTGTAAAAGAACCCAAGAAGGAGGCATTATTTTTACGTCTTCAAAATGATCAAGAGCAGTGGGGACTAGAGAGTAGCACGGCCCTAAAAGACGGTGCTCTTCAAGGCTCACCCACATGGAAAGGCTCCAGATTTGCATCCAGAAACCTGAGTAGGCCAGGTATAAATGTGCCCACGATTCAGGGCTGACTAAAGCGAGGGGTGGATCATAGCATCGAGACTCCATTATGAGGGTGCTCTCTTCCTCTTTCTCTGTCTCTCTCAAGGAAGAAATAAATAAATAAACTTTTAAAATCCTCAAGAATATTATTTGACTTACCAAGATAATAATCAATTGCTATTGAGACATGTTTATTCTCAGGTAAGCAATGACCAGGAAAGATAAAGGCATATAACTACAATCCCAAGATCATAAGGCATCAGAGGGAGGTAGTGAATCCACTTGATGGTAAGTCAAGAAATTTTGGTAGGAGATGCAGATTTGAAGAATAAATGGGACCAGGCAAAAGAAACAGTTGCAAGTCAGTAGGATTGGACTGTGACCTGGTTGTGAATAAAGCTTTCTGGATTTCCATAGGCTTGTCCTAAAGTGCCTTAAGCTTCTTGGTAAGCCTTGAACTGTGCAATGATACCTAGAGGTTTGGCCAGACCAATTTGCCAAAGGATAACCTGTACTTCTATGCCTCAGTCACTGCCCAAATCCACAGCTACCTCTCCCTTCACAAGCCAATGAAGTCAACTTCCTTATGCTGGATAAGAAAAATTTGCCTAGAGCTCTTTACTATGGCCTTTCCCTTCCTGATTAATTCCATATTAATTTTCTGTGCCCACCTCTACCTATTTATTCAACCCAATAATCATTCTCAACCATTCATTGCATTTTGTCAGCTGTTTTAGTAAAAACTGTTTCCTCCATTTTATTTTTTTTCTCTTATCCTTATCTACCTGGTAAATGATAGATAATCTTTAGGTAAGTGGTATCATGGATTGTCCAAGAAGGAAGAGTTAGAAGAAAATTATCACTCACTGATGACTAAATCACCACTGATTGCTGGCTGTGAAATAGACAAATGAGGGTACCTAAGAAGCATGAATCAATATTTCCTCTTCACTGTTGCTTTCCCTGGGTTCACGTCCCACTTCAATAAAATATCTTCTTGCAAGAATTAATTCGTTCATGCTCTACTTTAATGAGAAAACCAAGACCATCGTTTATGAGTTCTTTCATTTTTCCAATCTCATTACCTTTTCAACAATGGTTCTACAAAGTGTGTTTTCTAATTTTACAATGCTCTAAGAACATTTTTTCCATGCAATGGGTGAAAATCTGAGACTGAGACATAGAGCACTGTAGTTAGATCAAAAGGCTGCTGAGGTACAGGTGGGTGGCATGGTGGTTGGGATGCTGGATTCCCACATGGCTGTCTGCAATTCGGGTTCTGGACCTGGCAGTTTGCTTTCTCACTTTTCCTCTCACTGGTCAAATTAAAAAATAAGAATAAATAAAATAATAAAATAAAAGAATCCTTTAAAAAAAAAAAAAAAGGAAAAAGGCTGCTGGGAGCTGGAAGGGCTAAGGAGATTAACATAAGGTTAAAGCATAGGGTCTGGCAAATACCTGCTGGAGGCCCTACACATAACAAAAGTGTCTGATGACCCTTTGTGAGACTCTGCAGTCACTCTTGAGTTCCCTTGGGCCCCCAGATGGAAGAGGCTTCTGCAAACCTCTTTGCTTCTGCATGCATCCTTCCTACTGCCTGGTTTTGTTCACCTCACTCTCCACCCTAGTTATCTCATCAAATCCATCATCTCCTCATTGCTCAAATGCATATCATGTGTGGCCTCCTTATAGTCCTTGAAGCACTGAGCCAGCTCCTTGTGGGTTTATGTTTTGGCTTTCCTGGGCACATCATCCCTAGCTGGGCATTCTCCTGAAGCCCTTGTATCACCTTCTGACTTCCCTTTCTCTTGGCTCTCAATTGATCTCTGCTTTTTCCCTATCCTTTAGCACTTCCTTATCTTTTCCTGTTTTCTTTATTTCCCTCCATTTCTAATTTTTCCTTGCTGTCTGGTGTATAAGCTATTTCCAGTTTGTACTCATTTGATGGCTGTTCATCTTCCATCCTTCCAGTTCTCAAGCTTTCCTTAATTGTCACTGTAGAGTTTTTGTTTGTTTCCCCTCTTTTTCTTGTCCTGAAGAGATTCTGGACAAGTTCCACCTCCTTTTATTCATAGCTGAGTGCAGGGAACAATAGATTCTCAGACCCCAAAGAAGTGAGAGCAATTAGGAGCCCCGGGGACCAGCATAAATTGCTCCAAGACAAACAGCAGAGAGGAAGGGCAGATCCCAGGACTCATTTCTGAGTTTGCTCCTATGTATGCTTTAGATGCTATTCTTTCCATCCTGTTCTGTCACCTGAGTACAAGTAATCTGTTGCCTGAGTCTTGTACCATTACATTTACACTTTCCCTCTCGCCCTCTTCACATCTGCCTACAAATTTGCATAGACAACATTACCTTGAACCACCTGACTTAGTGCCCTTTTGGGTAACATCCCATTTGTAACATTAGCTTCTTGGCAATTCCAGTGAGCACTGTGCTCATATCGCCTCTATTTTGTTCTGCAGGCATGTCTTCTCAGCTTCTTTGTAGGAAGTCTTTTTGACTTTCTTCTTTACCATCATGTTACACCACCTTTCTCAAAGTTACCTGAAGCAGTTAGCATAATGACTATGTCGCTGGACTCCCACGTAGTCGACTGCAGTTCGAGTCCCGGACCCGGTGGCTTAAACTCACACTGGGCGCGTGTGTGTGCGTGCCCAAGGTCCCGAAAGGAGAATGGAGGAGGAGGAATTGCAACAACGTGGCCATCCCCCCTGGGGGGGTGATTTCTCGCTTTCTGTCTCTCTGTCTCTGTCTGGCGAGGGCAAGCGCCCTATAGCAAAAACCTCTCAAAAAAAAAAAAAAAAGTTACCTTAAACAACAATGACAGCAACACAAAGTTTTTGAGATATCAGATTTATTTTCAGTTTCCATTCAGCATAGCTGACCTATCCTGGCATTTCAAATTCTCTCCCCCTTGGACACTACAGTTCTTCTGGCTTTCCTCCTGCCTTTCCAAGCATACCCTTTCAGACTCCCCCATGGATTCCTTGCCTCTCATTCTGGGTGTGCCCTCGGTCGTCTTTTATTTGATATCTCAATGCACAATTTTAACATCATCCTACATGGATGAGTCCCATATGTAAATGTTAACCTCTCTGTAAGGTCAGATTCTGATTTCCATCTCCCTGAGCTTCCACCATTGTATGTATCAATGATCAGAATAACATGCTTATAACTAATTTTCATCAGTTCTTTTCCAAAGGCACTTCTGTGTCTCTCTCTTACCTTTCCCTTTAAGCATAACCTCATTAAAACCATAAACAAGAGATAAAGTTCTCTCCTCCTGGGCTGGCCCTGTAACACAGACATTGGAGGCTATACAGACAGAGCCAGATTCCCCATGACTGACCAGCAGCTTCAAAAGCATGCTAGGCACGTGTGCAAGTGTGCCCAGAATCCTGACTAGATGGGAAAATGGAGGAAAAGGGGTTGTGGTGAGACCATGTCCCATTGAGGTGTGGTTTACCTCTGTCTCCTTGGGGAGCACATGTGCCTTATGGCAATTAAAAAATAAAAATCTCTCCTTTTTTTTTTTTGTTTATTTTTTAGATTTTTGCCATAGGGCTTGCACATTCACTGGAGAGAGACAGAGAGAGGGAAAGTAAGAAATCACCCCCGCCAAAGGGCATGGCCATGTTGCAATCCCTTCTCTGCCATTCTCCTCCTGGGATTTGAGCATGCACATACATGCACCAGGCATGATTTTCAAGCCACTGGATCCAAGACTCAAACCATACTCTACCATGTGGGAGTCTAGCACCTTAACCACCACGCCACTTACTGGCTCCAAAATCTCTTCTAGTTTTAAAGGCTTCCAGAAATGATCATGTCCTAAAGCCTTTTGGTGAATGAACTTTATGCACCAGGATACACAGAACTAAAGGGAAAACGATGATATAATGGTCCTGTAACATCTTGAGGCAGACATAGTTCTGTAACTTAGTGAATTTTGCAAAGAAAAACATTTTGGGAGAAGCACATAATGAATGTTGATGAATTCTTAAAAGACAAGATAGGTTTGGGCCAGCAAATGGCTTGGTGAAGGCGCTGGACTCCCACATGGCTGACCACGGTTTGAGTCCCAGACCTGGTAGCTTGCTTTCTCACTTTCCCTTTCTCTCTCTGTCTCTGTCTCTCTTTCTGATCAAATTAAAAAATAAATAATACTAACAAATGAAATTAAATAAATAAACAATACTTTAAGAAACCAGATAGGTTTAAGAGTACTTAGATAATTTATTGAAGAATGAAGACATAAAGACATCTTGAAAAAGTAGGTGTTGTATGAATGCAAAAACTGTTTCTATCCTAATTTATGATAATTTAATTCATTTACTCCGTGAAGACCATGCTATTTCAAAAGATTTAGTCATTTTCCTCTGTTATAGGTTTACTTTACATCTTTATTTGTTAAGCTTTCTACCTTTCAGAGTAAGGTTTTTCTACACAAAATCTTGCCATTGGAAGGAGTATTTCTGACTAACCCTTTAAAATATGAACAAAATAACATCTATTCAGGATTACTAGCTGCTCTTTGAATAATAAATTTTCTTACAGTTAAAAATGGATAACTAATGTCTGTTTTAGAGACTTGATTTCATAGAAGGGAAATTCAGTAATTAAAGAGAAAAATAAAACAAAAATAAAGATGGAAATTGTTCAAAAATGAATAACAGTTTTCCATTTCCATTTAAAAGAATCTGTCAGGCATTAAGCTTTATTCAAATTACCCAGGAGGCTACTCTAACTATTTATTTGCTTTCCAAGTAGTCTCAGATTTTTTAGTAACAGAAATGTAAGCTATGCTATTTTGGCTCTTTAAATTAAATAGGAATGAAAAGCAATTTAAAAGTTCATGTTGCAGTGTGGGTTGAGAAGGAGAGATAAAAAAAAGAACAAGGATCTCTTGATCTGGAACAACTGGCCAAGCCCCTCTGCCTTCTCCCCATGACAGTCTCTTCCTGAGAGAATCTCACCCTGGAAGGTCACTATCT